GCTATCCGGGATAGCATGTTTCGCAACTATATTAGGCCCTATCCAAGTCTATAGCAACGTTGTCGGCTCCTTTGATTTTCTGTAAATACATTTTAAGTGATGTATGCCGGTGCGTATGCGAAATAAATCGAAGTGGCCCAAACAGAATAGGTAATCGGCGTCAACATTTCAACTATTGCCTACGGCAACTCGACCTAGTATGCTTAAAGCGCAATCATTTTTTGAATTTCTTAATGACGTCGGTAGTCATTTAACGGCCATGTTCTTTATCGAATTCCGAACAATCGTTAAGCGGCAATGCCCCTAAGGCACGGTCTTGGAGCAGTGCCTCGTAGTCTTTGTAAATATATAGCTAGGTAATAATCTGATGCGTATTTTAGAACCCAGAAGGTTTTTAAAAATATAATGGAATTGTCCGCAAAGTTACAGAGAAAGGTGGCTTTGGCGACTGCCACCGGGTAAGGGATCAACCTGTGGTGTCCTTGCAGGAAATTCAAACGATACTCACAACTGTACAGTAGGAAATGGGGAGCTGGAGACTACCGCAGGAAAACGGATCAAATTTACTGCATCAAAAAACATATCGTCTTTACAAAATCCCATCTCACCGTCATTACTTAATCAAACAGAAAGGTCATTGTCAGTCTTGACAGGCTACTAAAACATACTTAGTGTCCCCCCAAATTGTTGTAGCTAAGTATTTTAAGTTCGGTTTCTGCTATTTTAGCTGTCGGATCTACGCTTGTGGATCTTTATATGGGTTGCGTGGAAAGTCTGTGACTCCTGAGATCTGGTCTCCGCAGACCGTTGTTACCGTTAAAAGTATATTAAGCAAACTCTCTTTGGTGGAGTATTGTGGCAGTTAACGTCATACGGCCTCGACAACTCTAAATTAATACCCAATGCGGTGGGTTTTGACGAGGTCTTGTCGTTTTGGTATAAGAATGTACTACAATCTTTGCTTGCGTTGAATAGTATTCTTTCAAAAATCCTTTTATTTTCACTTTTTGTCATAGGTGGATTGCATGTCTCAGTGGTTTTCCAACCTTTAGAATTCATGAATGAGTTAAAGAAACCAAGCGTTCACATAGTTGTACTGGGGGATGTCACTCGTTCGCCGCGTATGCGAACTCATGCGAATTCCTTCGTCCAAAGTAATTGGGATGTTAATTTTTCTGGCTATGGGAGCCATCTGTCCACACCGGCTTCCAAAGATGAAAAAATCAATTTCTTCTACATTCGTGAACCCCCAAATTGGTTCGATAAGCTGTTGCCCCGCATAATTGCATTACTCTTTAAGGTAACTATATGCTTACGGTTTTCATCATTACCATCTTGGTCTAGTTGATATTTCTCTCCATAAGCCTACTTTTGCACCTCGTGAGAAATTTTAAGAGCCATATGCTGCTGGTACAATCGCCGCCTGCGGCACCTACAATGATCATCGTCTGGTTCTACGCGTTTTTACGAGGTGTGCCGGTTCTAATTGATTGGCACAACTATGGGTACACAATTTTGGAGGCCTCCTCCGGCCGAAAAACCCTCTCCTCCAAGTGAGTATCTTGCTACCTCATTTAAAGCTACCCCATATATTGAAGTACATTTGCGTCAGTTCTTTTTACTTCCATAGATAGACGAAGCAGTAACTTCTTTGGGGTAGTAGCATGTAAATGTCAGACTTTGTGAAATATAGTTTTGTTCTTAATTAATAAATGTATTACCTGAATTTGGAAATTGCACCCAAATTAGCTGAAAAAAATAGCTACTAATGACTACATTCTAAATAGCTGGCAAAGAACCACATTGCGCTCTTGGTCAGAATTGTATATTTTCTGAAAAAAATGCTATTATTATATAAACCTCGTATTCTTTTTGCAACTGTCAGTTGTGTGTCTTAGACGCGATTCACTTTTTTATTGATCCATTATAGCTTGGGATTTTTCATGAGATACCGGCAACGCTAGCGCACTGCATTAAAGAAAGCTTGATGATCGCTGTTATTTGGTGCTTCACGGGAATATTTTTGAAAATATTTAGAGTATTTGAAAACTTTAATTGTTGGACATGTTCTTGTTTACTGCCGCCCGGGCATGCCAATTAGTCATGAACTCGTTCTCAATCGGTATAACGACCTGGGTAGGCTTTGGCCTCAGTCACAGGAGCATTCCTGACCGACGTCTACGTCCATGCTGTTGCTTGTGAAGCACATCGGGTTTCTGTCAAGCCGAACAGGGTGAAAGTACTCTCTAACCCTTTGCCACTGGGCACCTGGTGTATATCCTTGATAGTTTCTTGCATTTAGGGCAGGTAATTGAGGTTGGCGTTGAGTTTCACATGCGCGAACCTGTTAATGGCGTCGTCGGAAATTTTGAAGGAGTGATTGCGAAGGCTGGCGACGTGTTCAGCCCAGTGCTTCGGAATATTT